GACTCAAAGTGCATTCACATGTTTTTAAGTAATTTCCCCATTAAAATAAATCACTCAACAGTGTTGAGTTGTTAAGGCCTCTGTAATACCAGACTAGCTTCAGGCAACTGTAATTCCAGACTAGCCACAAGAACCAAGAAGCTAGTCACGCCGAATTTGAATTACCTACCCCCCCTCCCCGCCCCAAAAGAAAACTTAATTCAAAGACTGAATGAAACTAATCTTGCTAATACTGTTATTTGGTCCACTTCATTAGTATTCAGTTCTTCCTTTAAAGTCGCTTAGTTCAGCTACAGGATTTAGATGTTTTGCCTTGGAACTCTTGAGAAGTTTGGTATGCAACTCTTCAGGATTTTGTCGTTTCACCAAAGGTTTCTTTTCAGGTGCTTTCATCCTCCACATAACAACTGGAGACTGTCGAAAAACCAAAATTTGGTAAATACAACATACAAAAGCATTAATTTTTACAAGAATTTAATTTCTATGTTTTGATTCATAGATATGGCAGCAAGACAGCGAGTCACTTTTGTAATTAAATTGAATTTTGAGGATTTTACTTACCAAGGAAAATAGCAGAGTTAAAACACAGTGAGCAATTAATGCAATTACAGTATTGTTTATTAAGTTTTATAGCTGGATCTGTATGAATGTTTTTATTTTTGAAAATTTTCTTGCCAGGTGACTCTAGACTTTTTTTGTGTGTAAAAGTGCTGAATAATAATTTTTGTTATACATGTATTTTTATACTTTCAGGATTTAGAGTTTCTAACAATAGGTTTTAGATGAAACCACCAAATATCAGTAAGATTTTGATAATCAAGCAGATGGATCGACTATTTTGGAACAAAGCTACTTGAGTTGACTGGAAAAATATAGAAATTAAAAGGAAAGACTAAAGATTAATATATTTCCTTTAAAATCTATTATTATATTTTCTAAGTTGAATGTAAGGAGCCTTAGAGCCATTACATACCAGCCATGATTTGAAGATCAATTCACACAATAAGAAGAATACTTACGTTAACCATTGATGCTCCTTTGCCGAGTCGTGTATATTTTGTAGACGCCACATACGATGCTTTTACAGTTTGTACAACAGCAGCCATCAGGTTTTTAGCAGCTTGAATAAGAGATGTTGCACTGTCCAACTAGTGATTGAAAATACAAGTTTGAGTACATGTACTATAATACATGAATATTTGCATTGCATTACAGTATAGCAAATAAACAGGATTTGGGTCTTGTTTGCAAACATTTCTCGCATACTCAAAACAAGCAACGGATCTTGTGCAATAAAAATATGGATAAAGGTAAAATAGTAGCAAACAACTGTAGAACTAAATTTATGCAAATGCATGAATACTTACCCCAGTAACAACAAGCTCACCACTAACACTCTGTACATCAGCTTTCACTTTACTACATATGTTCAACTGGTGACAATACAGAGCAATTCTCTGGAGGTAAGCTACCAGGTCATCTTTGGAAGTTGAGTCAGGACATTGGTCAGCTACTTTTCTTGATAATTTATCTAACTTAGAGCCGTGTTCAGCAATCTTTTGAGCAGCACCAATCACATCCATAGAGGTTTTCAATGGACCACGACCTCTGCAATATACATTTGTTATATTACATTACAAGCTTAAAGGGGAACCTTCCAAACCCAGGGACTGCACCAAAGAATCATGGGACACTATTGTTTATGTTATTTACAAAGTTAATCTATCCTTTGTTATATTAGGCTTAACTGGAAGTGCCCCTTTAAACACTAACCCTCGAATATTTGTATTTCATGACTTGTATTCAATATTTGCTGAATTAAATTGTTCATGTACTTATGCAATTGACAGGTGTGTCAAATTGAGTCACATTTTG